TTTATGAATGTAAGTTGACTTTCATTATGCTATCTGTGATTCTATTCTATTTTATGATTCAAATGATTATGCAATGACATTGATTGCCCGCAGACATTCATTTTGTTATGATTCATGCTTATGAGATGAAATGCTTAATTGTAGGAATTATTTTGTATGATATATCTGCTGAATGTTGTTATAGAAATATCATAATGAACGTTAAGGGATAGATTATTTCATGAATGCTTGCTAGTGTATTATGTAAGTATGTATTCCCAACTGATATTTATATGAGGATGAAATTCTAAAAACCATTGGAAATAAACGGTGACAGAACGTTAGGGAATTGTAGGTATCAGGGGGGTTGTCAATAACTACTCTGTTGGTGGAAACTCTACTTTTATCAGTAGTTTGTATAGTCTTTGGGGCAAGGTGATGACCCATGATAAAAAAATATGGATATAGTTGAATCCTATTCATTAAACAAGTGAAATTCTTATGATATGACCTCTATGAAATGAATGAACATACATATACTTATGATTTTAATGCTTATGACTTGTATGTTACAGTACAGTTGATTTTTTTACCAACTGTAACTGTTCTTTTTTCATGTTTTCTATTGCGCTAGTATATTATGATTGTATGTAGACATGTATAGTTTTATACAAGCATGCACGGTACCTTTCATTTTATGTTTAAAATCTCATTTTAGCCATAAATATTTCTCTGAGCTCGTTGTTACTCGTTCTTCTTCGTTGCATTTCAGTTAAGAGCAACGAACACCGGGGTGAGTAGCAAGGTGTGTTTTTATACAAGCTTTTGCACGATAATTTCTAGACTTTTGTACATAAGTTTTGAGTATATATTTTTATTGTTTTGTATTTAGCAGTTTTGTATGGTTTTTATATTTTTGATGATTTAATTTCCATGTTTCCGAATATGTGATTGAAATTCAATGTATGTCGTATATTGCAGCGATCCAGTTATACTAATTCATCGTCCACTGGGTTTTGATTATAAATGTCAGGACGAGTGCTGGTGAGAGTTGGTCTGACCAAATTCTCACCTTCTGTTGCACCTCAGCCGACCCCTAAAAGGGCTGGGCCAGTTGGTGTGTGTCGTAAAACCCTTTGGAAGATATCAAAACCTAGATAAAAACCGTTTTCCCTTTCATTTCTTTTTTCTTCTTAATGGCTTCTTGAAGTATTTCAAATGATAATTCTTTTCCAATTTCAGTCCCACAGAATGCTAATCCTGAAACAGTTGGTATAGAATGGCCATTATAGTGAACCAATTATTCTCCTGCTAGCATATATTTCTTATGGGATTTCCCAGGCCCTGATGGATATAGTTGGAATATATTTGGAAGGCATTGTTGCTAGGGCTATTTTAATGTGGCTTTTGTGCTATCCTTTATTTTGATTTGAGATATTTCCTTGGGATAGCATTGACAATTATAGAACTTAGAAGGGAAGGTGGAGTTTGGGCTTTTTGGTTGTTAAGCTAGGGTAGTTTTTGCCGGTTAACATGAAGCAGACTCGTACAGTTTTCCAAGAACAAGCTTGTGCAACTTAGGCATCTCTTTCCAATCAAACAAAGAGGTAGAACCTTCGTGAAACTATATTGTTATTCAATTTGTTGTGCTCACTTGGAACTAATGCTTATTGGATTAAGCACGAAAAAATTATTGTCTTTTGTTATTTAGTTTATTTTTTTGATATCATAATCATGAAAGGAGAACTATGCAGTTTAGATCATCATAATCATTGTTAGCCTTATCCGGACTCTTTGGTATTAGCTTTATGAGTTTGCATTTTTCGTTCTTGTTGAGTATTATATAAGTCATGAGGAATTAATTCACCTAATAAGATTGAATCACATTTCTACATGTGACCATAAACAGACCAAGTTACTTAATAAAATCAACTTGGTTAATCGAAAGAGTTTTATTTATCGATCCCTTCTGTCAACGCTTCATCAATAACACGAACTACAAATTTGCTTAGTTAAAGAGTGGCCCAAAGGATGGTACCACATCGCTATTCAACTTGTTGATGCCTATGCATACTGGAAGAAAAAATTGGACTCATCAGTGATTGTTTACTTGTAGGGATTAGAATAGCCATTTTTGAAACTGTCTGACCACATAGGGACAGTTGTGGTTCTTTTTCTCTTTGGCAAACTTTCCAGAAAAGCCATGGAGATGCTTTTTGAAGGATGGTCAGTTACTTTGGTACGAGCAATGACGTGCACATTTTTATCTTATTTGCCTGAAGGTGTTACAAGTTATGGACCTTCTGATGTATTCACATCTTCTGATGTACTCACATCTCGTTGTATGTTTGGTGAATGAACATATTGTTATCTGTTCTACAATTCTTACTCTCTAAAGTAACCAACTACTTTGGAGATATCACTTCACATATTCAACTTGATTTATAGAATCTAGCATGCACCACTATTCTCCTTTATAAAGGACATCATCCATCTTTGCAGGCTAACTTTAAAGTTTGCCTTCTGTATGTCCAATATTCATTTGAAGAGATTCTTCTGGCAATCTTCTTACACGGAAAGTTCAACATGGTTTATAATACCTAAACAAGGAAGTGCTATAGAGCAAATCGGTTATTTCATTGTTAGCCTTCTTTCTGTATTTGATTATCAAGTTGATTTGTCAGATGTAAGTCATCCACTTCATTTTAGTATGCTGCACCTTAACTGAGTCTTACAAATAATGATGTGACTAGAATGTCACTGTTTCATTGCTGAATGGAATGCTAGCTCCCTTTATCATAGGTTGGATTGTTCTTTTGAGCCCCTTGAAGCATCTAGGAGTGCTAGGCAATGGGTCTCCGATCCTATTTTAGTATTGCACGCATTGCATGTCCTCTAGTATTTGCTTTTAGTTAGAAGTGTCATTTGCCAATTTGGCAATGCAAACTCGGTTGCCTCACTTTTCTTCTTCTTGAAGAAGAGAAATGTATCCTCTTATTTTTATCCGTTCAAATTTGCCATTATCCCTGGTCAAAATATGTAAATTAGATGGTCATTGAAATATGGTGCGTGAACATAAGAAACTCCTTACATTGTTCACAGTTTGTGTCGCTACTGAATTGACTTCACATTTTAGGATCTAATTTAACTTATCCATTGCTCACCTCACAAATAGAGGGATTTCAAGCTGGTGAGGAAAATTGCAGGCTTCCATTAATCCGAAGGTTATTGTTGCATAATAATGAATAATAGGTTTTTATTGTTGTTTTGTTGATAGTATGGTTGTCGCTCGCAATAGGCAGTCCATAAAGCTGAATATTGGCGGGATTTGGAGCTAGCGGGTAATTCGAGACTTTGAAATCCCAATCTGTGGACTATTATCTGGATTGTAAGTTGTATGTAATCTCATCCTTATTCTCATAGAACATCTATAATATTAGTGTTAATGCTTTATCCAGACCTAATGATAATTGTCAATAAATCACTGTGATTAGCTGCGTCCAAAATTAAAATTACCTAGTATTACGTAAAAGCTTTTTGTATTAATGAGGGCATAACATTTGCTAAGAAACTCAATAAGAATTCGAGTAATTTCTCTTTCTTCATTGCAACAAGCCCTGCGAAATTAATTTATGGGCATTTGCCTCCTTTTGTCTCTATTTGCTGCAGCAAGCTTCATGACAGCTTCCCCTACCTCTATTGTTCTATCAGAGTATGCACAGCAGATCCACCGACTTCTCTATTAGCAGCCAATTTGTTCATCTCCAATAATAGGTGAGCTTTAGGAAAATGAAAACTAACCCACAACTCACAAGTGGAGAGAAATAAAATAAAATCTAAAAAGAATGTCCTCTTTTTCGACAGAAGCTGTTCTCAGTTTTAGATCAAACTAGAATTCCAATCTCTAATAGAGTGTAAAGTCGACCATCAGTTAGATTGAAAACAATATTTTGTTCTGTCCCAAGTATGGAGAATCTTCTCAAGAGAAAACAAAAGTTATGCAATTTTAAGGGCCCCATGCTGAGTGTGAATGTTCTCAATTTTTGTTGCTTAGGTTAGAAGAATATTTATGTTATTGATATGGAATATTATAATATTGAAAATGGATTAAACATGCCTGTCCCTACTCAAAATCATTGATAATTGGGACATGGTGATACTATCATACAAAAAGATTGGTGACACTGACCAGTATATATAAGTAGGACTAAAATTAACAGCATGCCATTGAATAAATTTCTCAGTCATTTTGGATTACAAAATTTTTAAATAATTTGTGGCTCGAGCTCGACCATGTGGTTAATGCATTAAATTGAGCTGCATTGAAAATTATGCAATGTTCCAAATGTTTTATGAAAAGAGAAAAATCTTACAAAATTTTAGCTGGCTTGTTTGGGATTACTTTTGCGTTTACTTTAAATTTTTGTTTTTGCTTTTATTTTAAAAATATGTTTTTAGTATTTTTTTTTTTTCTTTTTGTTTTCAGCAAATTAACTTATATTTTTAGTATTTTTTTTTTCATGTTTTTTTTTCTTTTTGTTTTCAGCAAATTAACTTATTTTTAGAAGCACTCAAAACTGTTTTTCAAAAATAGCTAATCATATTATAATACTATCAAATATGTTTTATTTTAAGTAAAAATAAAAACAAATTAAAATAATAAATAAAAAAATGAAAATAAAATTAAAAGTAATCCCAAATGGCTCCTAAAGAAAGCATGCATATCAATACCAAACCATGTATCATCAGGAAAACACCACTTCTATGAAAGAGAGATAACAGCATTATTTATTCTTCCGACAGACAACGACATATAACCTTATTATTAATCTTTCCAAGGGACATGTAACTTTCTCAAATCCCCATCATCCTTGAGAGTTGTACTCTTTAATTCATGTATTACAAATAGATAAAGTTTACTGTTCCGAATTCATGGGTTTTTTTCTGCTGCTTATTTTCCTGCTTAGCATTCGGTTAGTAAATCATTTTTCAATGCCTCCCATTTTTATTTATATACACAGGTATTGCAGGCTGGAGGATACAGGGAACCGTTTGATATTTTATCGGACTACCTTGGTAGAAAGCCTTCTATCCGGCCGTTTGTTGAAATCAAAGCCAGAAACAGCTTGCCTCTAGCAGAAATCAATTAATTTGTGAACAGTTAGCTTTGCCAGTGACTCGTGGACATGTATGTGTCTATTTATTTATTGCTGTTCTTTTCATTTTCAGCAATCATGTTAATCTTATAAAAGTCTACAAATTAAGCATACTCTTGTTCAACTCTTAAATGTTTTTTTGAGCCTATTGTACACTTTTTTCTTTTGTCGAGCTTAGCCAATCATGTTGTGGAGCGGCCAACCCATTTAAATACATGCCAACCCAATACACTCGGAGTTGCTTCAAGCAGGAGAACTCTAAACGCTAAATCAAAATTGCTGATGAAAACCCGTAAAAAATGAATATGAATCGAGAACCCATTTAAATACATGCCAACCCAATACACTCGGAGTTGCTTCAAGCAGGAGAACTCTAAACGCTAAATCAAAATTGCTGATGAAAACCCGTAAAAAATGAATATGAATCGAGAACGTACTCTTTTTTTCAATGTATTCGGGAGGTCTTTGGGCCAGGTCACGTAAAAAAATGCATTTTTAACATTTTTTTTTAAATGGCGAGAACGGGGCCCACCACTTTACAATGGTGTGGTCTTATTGGAGTCCGGATGCAATATTTCCTCTTGTAAGGGAGGTTGTGTCGTTAGAAGCAGGCGAGCAAGTTGGTGCTTGTTACGAGGCTAGTGATGGTTGGGAAATAGGGTTAGCAATAGTTTTGATGATGATGACGGCGGGTGACTTTTGAAAGGGTGAGGTTTTTGGTGTTTAGAATGTAAATTATATATTTTATAGTTTAAGGATGTAAAATATAATTTTAAGTGACAGATATGTAAAAACACTTAACCATCTCATTAAATATTTTAGTTTTTATATATTTGTAAATGTTGAATTAGAGCCATAAAATGGAAAATGGGAATTTGAAGACAACAATTAATGGTCATGGTAAATTTATTTGTATTTATGTATGTATATATGTATGTATGTATCTGTATGTATTTATGTATGTATGTATGTATGTATATCTATATGTATGTGTGTGTGTGTCTATATATATATATAGATTTGGAAGGAGAAAATCCGAAGCATTTATTAAAAAATTTCTTGATTCAGCCATGATAGCAAGGAGCGATCTCTATTCTCTTCATTGCAATAATCTTTGGCATCGTGTTTGGATAAGATTCAATAATCATTATCTCCAACCATTTTAAGTGAGCCGAAAGCACTTAAAATCAAAGCATTGATTCGCCCCTACCTCCCTCACTTTTTCGAGCAATTATTCTATTTGTTGATCCAATCACCTTTTTAATTTTTCTTTAAAAAAAATAAAAAACGGGGCCCATTAACATACACATTTAGGTAAGATGGATTTTAATTAGTTCACCGGCTGCGTACGATGAATGTATGCAATAATTGGCTCACCAAGCTCAATCGGCCCCCCTATTTAGATGTCGCACATGTGCGATCATTTTTCAATTTTTTTTCCTTTCATCAAGGAATTTCAATAGTGTGAGAAGCACCTTAAACCAATATCTACGAAAGAAGCATTTACGTAGACTACTCATAACCAGAGAGTCAGGTGTATGCACCTATTTTGGGGTCAAGAGCACTCCCAGAGGAACGTGTTCCTACTGGTTAATTACATCTTGGGGGATACCCAAAAATACTCTCGATAAAAGGAGTTTCCCCTATATTATCATAGACCTAGGGTATAGGCAATCAAAGAAATGTTATTCCGTGTGGGAACAATCCTGATGCTTCAAAGCTCAGGTTAAGCCATCAGGCAGAGAGTGAGTCTCTCACATCCCAAATGGATAGCGACTAATCAGCACACGGGGTCCACGGAATAACCTAAATCATCTTGACGGGGATATCCCAACAAGTCAAAGCACGTCCGGTCAATAAAGGCAGAGGACAAATTGTCGTATCCCGAATGTGCGGCAGCTCATCAGTATTGGGTCGTCAAGGGGATATCAACGAAGTCAATGAGTGATAGGGTTCAAAGGGGCTCAACAAAAAGGAAGGTAGAGTGATCCTAAAAGGTAAAGGTAATTGGGTCAGGGTACCACAGACTCGTCATCCACAGCTACTAGGATCCTAAGTCTACCTGGTTGTGAAGGTAGTCAACCCAACACGTCTTGAGATCCCCGGTCAGCAAACCGTGAATTGCGTCGTGCACAGGAACCTCGGTAGCTCTAAGGTCAAAATAAAGAAACTCTATCCTATGACTACAAGCTAGAGCTCCAAGAGGTGCTGACTTATACCTACCAAAATAGCAAGGATGCGTCAGGAAAGAAAGAGAAGCGGAGGTTCAGCTACAACGCTGGAAATACTCCAAAATAAAAGGACTTACACCCCGTTTGGGTTGGGTAGGCGCACTAGACAACCACCTATAAAAAGGTATGTTGAGTTAGTCAGGTTGGAGAAGCACGGGGACTCCTCCTCGGAACATGCAAATATGATGCAGTTATCTAGAACTGTCATATGTATTTTGGAGGCCCTATTAATATATGCAGGAAAGTAAATGTTATCTTTTTTAAATCCTGAATATTTTAATTATCTTGAATATTTTATTTAGAATTTTGTAGAAAATTATAATTTTAGGGTTTTTAATGAGCCTAGATATAAAGAGTCTATATTGCATCATGAAATCCCAGATAAATCACAGAAAGAAACAAAGAAAACACATGCAGATGTGCAGTCCTGCAGGCATGATGCAAAAAACAAAACAATTCAAATAAAATAATAAAAGGCCGGTGTCGCTGGGTCGGCAACATATCTCAAAAAAGAAAAAAAAAAGCGGTCGGACTCAGCATATACATGCCCGATCCTAATTCTATACAACAATATAAAATGTAAAATTAAGATACGAGGCAAGAGCATATACTCCTGGTTTTCTTCACGTGGTTCCCGCGTCAAACCCCTCGAAACTCGTGCCCGTATCTTATTTCTACTACAGGACTCTTCTGAACTCTAAAAAGTACAAAAGAAAAAGAAAGAGTCGATCCTGCATGAAAACAAGTGTCAGCGGGAAAACTCATAGGCAAATAACGTATAATGAGACATGTCTTAAAGTTGGGGAGCTAAATAGCACCTGCAAACAAAAGAGTCAGAAATCATCACATGCTCCCCTAATAGTGATACCTGTGTGTGTGCATATAAATATGCATGGCTCCCTGTAGAAAAATGCCATAACACACTACCACACATGCAGCATGCAATCACACCACAAGCATAATGCAAAATAAAGATATCTGGTTAGGGAAACCAATCCAGCAAAGAACAATAACCAGGCATCACAAAGTAAACAAATCCAGCAAAGAACAATAACCAGGCATCACAAAGTCTACCTAGCATCCTAAATCCTAGCCTAACATACCATCTAACGAAAAGTGCATCAACCTAGTATCTAAGTGTGGGGTAAGTCTAGGTATAGTATGACTTTGACGAGGTCGTCATACCGGCCCTATCCTAAAGATCCGAAGGATCTAAAGGGTGTCACGATCTATTAAATCTTTAGCACAGTCATACTCGTGTCAATCTCGATGACTTAACTGTCATTGCTCATCAGGATCAACCCAGCAAGCAATGCTCATTAAGGCATCACGATCAACACATTGTCACTCTCCTAATAAGCATAGCTTGCTATCCATGCAAACATACAAATGCAAATGCAAGCAAATCAAAAAATATAAGTAGTGATAAAGAGTATATCATGAAGGCGACGACTCATATGAATGGGCATGCCGTTGCAGCAGAGGTCCGAAAAGAATGTATGTTGGTAAAGCAGTGACCCGAAGGAATAGGCATGATGTGGCGGCATGAGCCCAAAAAGAGTGTATATCGGTAAAGCAGTGACCCGAAAGTGGGCATGGCGTGGGGGCAACGGTCCGAAAAAGAGGGTATGTTGGTAAAGTAGTGACCCAAAGGAATGAGCATGTTGTGGCTGTAGGAGCCCAAAAGACGTTATACTGGTAAAACAATAACCCGATTGTGGGCATGTCGTGATAGCAGCGGCCCGGACAGAGGGTATGTCGGTAAGGCAGTGACCCGAAGGAATGAGCATACCGTGGTGGCAGCTGCCCAGAAAAAGGGTATGCCGATAAGACAGTCACCTGAAGAAATGCAACAAGTAGATGATATTGATTATGCAGACAAACATGTATGTGCACATACACAACATGCAAAGGAGGAAGTGGTCGGTTGATCGGCTAGCTGGTTGAAACATAAGTGATGTGACCGGTTTGGGATAATCGACCAAGGCACAAGTGGTGTCGACCGGTCCGGAACGACCGATTGAGGCACAAGTGGTGCAGGTGCAAGTGCAACGTGTAAATGCAAGGTACAAGTTGCAAGTGCAAGTGCGATATATGACATACAATATGTAGCATGTAAGACATGCACATGCAAACAATGAGGTGCAAACAACCGCATATGATAGCGAGCTACGCTCATACTAACGACTTCGCCTGGGAAACCTAAGGCTGACGAGCTTGGATTTGCAGCATCGCCCCTCCAGCTTTGGTGACAAAATATGAGGAGTTTTATCCCAGATCTCAGAGGGGGAAACTCTCGACAACGTCACGAAATGGGCTAACTATAAAGTTTTCCCTATTTCATAAACTCCTCTAGACTTTACAAAGTGAGACAGCTACAAATCATCTCTCGCTTTGTCAAGTCTGACCTTCCAACTTCTCCAAGTAAAGCCGGGGAACCCAAAACTAGAAGAGTGAGGGACTCTGATCCATCAGGACTTGTGCTAAGGCTCACAACAAAGGGGAGAGACTTGGCTCTATGGAGGGTGTTTGACCATGTAGGAAAAAATCCTAACCTAAAGGCTCACTCTAGGAAATCGACGATCAATCACATAGGTACGTTGACGTGCCGGCTCACACCGACGCACGCACCCCGTGTGGGCAATCGAATTCACACGCCTTGACATCACTAAAATCTAGGGCAAGCTAGGAGTAGGGAAATTTCACCACCGTGACGGTTGCAGATGCATTCTCTTTATGCTGAAGGAGAGCCTACGTTTCCAACAAACCCCAACAAAGCTCCAGTCCGCGCACCAATTGTCTCGCAGATCATGCACGGAACAATAAAAGAAACCTGAGTGAGGGCAAGAGAGGTATGCAAATTACCCAAATAAATGATCGTGATGAACTAAAATGTGACTGACACATACCTTCGCATAGGGGACTGGATGACGATGAGGGAGGATTTTTTGCCTCAATCTCAAAGGAATGAAACCAACGAAGCG